AAGAGAGCCTAAAAAATCCCAGGAATTTTTTGTGACTGGTCGGTCTGTCCAGATATGTCAGGCTCTATTCCTCACTATCCAGTCTAGGGTTTCAACGGGATTCCGGGATCCCGGGAAATCCCGCAAATTTCTTAAAAATTCATTTTTTTTCTTATTTTGTGTTAAGGTTGAGGAATTTTGCAAATAGAAAGCATAATTAACTCATTCACTGTCAAAATACATTTGTATTTATTAATTTTAAACCTACCTATTAGTTTTTTTTTAAATTTTTGCTCGTTATAGCATGTCACAAATGGTCAATAATCAATATATAGCTTATTTGTGGCATGACTATAAAAATTCTTTACTTGTCGGAACCTGTAATATCTGGAATAATTGTGCTTACGCTGTCTTGAGTTTTAACCATGCCCAGTAGCTTCAATAAATGCCTGACGCCAGATTGTGCAAATTGGGCAAGGATACAAACGAGTACAAAGTCTGCAAGTATGAAGTTTTTCTTCATAAACCTGATTATTAAAGCCAAATGAATTGCCGAATTATCGAGCTCTAAGCTTGATGCCGCTATTAAAGCAGCCAAGGTAGACAAATCAAGAATACTAGAGAGCGAAAGAAGTACTACAATCTCGAAAACGAACTCGAAAGCTTCCAGGCTACAGGTGAAAAAACACATAATATCTGTCTTCTCTTAAATGCATTAAACACTATTCCAATCACATCAATTGAATCGGAAAGGGCATTCTCGGTGGCAAGACTTTTCATTACTAAAATAAGAATTAGAGTGAGTTATCGGAGTATTGACCATCTTTGCTTTTTAAAATCTTATAAAAGTTTGCAATATTTTGTATTATATTTTATTTAAAAAACGAAAATTACCTTCTAAATTAGAAGTTCATTTTTTTTAATTTTTAACTCAATTCAAAAAATTTTTTTTTGTTGTTGTTGTATGCAGTTTCCAGCAAACTTTAATTAATTTTTTTCTATTTGTGAAAATTTCTACGTTATTTAAAGGTAATTTTTATTATAGGCCTATAGACCTTACACAGCATTATTAATATGATTTTGGAGGTTACAGAACTTTAAAATTACTTTAAAAAATGGAAAATAATTATATCATTTGATTTCAAGATATTTTGTATACCTTAAAAATAACTAATTCTATCCCGGGATTTCCCGGGATCCCGGGAAACAGTTCACTTTTATCCCGGGATCCCGGGACAAGCAAAAGACCAGGAAATGAGAAACCCTAATCCAGTCATTCCATTGTGAGTCTGGCTAAATCTGCAATAGGCTTGAAAAAAGGTCCTCTTACTGATCACAGGATGGAAAGAGTAAAACAAAACTGTCACTAAACTATCTTATAAAATATAGTATTTCTAGATGTTTTCCATGCTTTTCACCTTGGAGTTTCTTTTTAACAGCATCTTCATTCCCTAGGGTTTATTTGTATCCAGGATTTAATTGAGGAAATATGGTAACTACAGTCAATATTTTCCAATAAATGATTTTAAAAATTACATTTCCCAACAACAGTGAAACTAAATCTATGCATTTTTTAAAAATTCTTGTAGTTTATTTACTTATTTTTCTTTATGGGCAGCACAAAATCAGTTTTACAAAGAGTATATATCAGACATGGGCAAATGTGGCTCTTTTTGAGTTACATTTGAGTAACACTTTCAGCTCTTACTGAAAGTGTTAATTTCTGCTTTTTATTATTATTTTTACAATTTTATTTCCACAATTTTGTGAAAATATGTTTATTAAAAAATTCAATATTTGTTTTATATTATATTTATATTATATAATAAAATCGCAATACAGAATAAAAAAGTACAGAACTGCAGCTTTCATGCATTTTGCAAAACCTACAATTCGGCTCCCACTGAACGCTTGCTTGCCCACCCCTGGTATATACTGTTGAATCTCAGTAAATCCAAGTTTAGACAAAAAAATAGTTTTACAGAACTATAATTATATTATATAATAAAATCGCAATACAGAATAAAAATGTACAGAACTGCTGCTCCCATGTATTTTGCAAAACCTACATTTCAGCTCCCACTGAACCCTTGCTTGCCCACCCCTGGTATATATCAATAAAATAAAGTAATGTCAATGGAAGGCTGATTTTAAAAAATTACTGTTTTCACAACCCATATTAATCTATAAAAATAAGATATATATATATAAATGGACGTGTGTGACCCTATATTTCACTTTTCTGCAAAAACTACACATCGCACATAAATGCTGTTTGTATGTGGTGGTAGCCCCAAGTCTCCATTTGTGCACTATGGTGGTTGCGTCTTGATAGCTATAAGGGTGCGGGAGATATGGGGCTGAAAGTGGTTTTCTATTTCGAATGTTATGTTCGAATTTCGAACAATATTCAAATTTGTTCGAATTCGAATTGGTTCGATTATAGAACGATTGTAAACGTTCCAGAAAATTGATCAAATTGAAAATAGTTCGTTTGACTGGACGTGAAAGTTCTCTAATTAGTCTGGAAATGGGGGACCTAATTCTTGCATTCTGTGAAAACGGGTAAGATGGGCTATAATGTAATTATCTTAATCTTCATTATCGTTACTTTTTGCCCAGCGAAGCGGGTCCTTGCATCTAGTATATAAATAAAAACTATAAATTAAGCAAAAACTGAAAACTATCAGAGATTTCTAGTTTCAATTTCTAAATTTAGCATATATTAATGTTTATAAAGGGAATAAATTCTTTTCTAATAGAACAAAATCAGTTTAGACTTATTTTTACACTCCTTTTATGCACGTTTCCTAAATAATATAAGGTAAATAATATGGATCTAAATTTGATTCTAATTCTCATTATTATTATTATTATCATCATCATCTTCTAAGTAACTGACATATATATGTATATAATATATAACTGTGAAAGACCGAAATTAGAGAATGTCGACACATACAAAATAGGTTGGTGAAAGACCAAATATTTGGTTATATTATTATACATTCGAACAATTGCCGGTGTATGTCGACAAGCACAGATAAGCTTTGGTGGAGGTCGAAACGACATCCCAGAAGCCGATGTCGACAGAGAGGCGACAGTCTGTCACCAAATTCTTCACTGTTTCCTTCTGCTCAAATTGGTGATACCGTACAAATACAAGTCCCTGATGTTGACCATGGCCGTACAGATGCCAAAAATGTGTTGGCGGTTGTTGTTGGAATAGAAGATTCTGACTTTTATAAATTAGCAAACAAAAATGGTACCCTCAAGCAGCTTTATACCCATGATCAGTTCGTAATTTGTAAAGAAAAGTTACTTTCCATAGATGAGATTTCTTCTCAAGAAATATCGCTGAGAGAAGCAGCTGCAGCTAATTCGAAAAGTGGAGGGCAAGGCTATACACGCTGTCATTGCAAAAAGAAGTGTTCCGCGAATAAATGTAGTTGTAAAAGCAAGGGACTGTTGTGTAATTCAAAGTGCCATAACAATTTAAGTTGTTGCAATAAATAAGATTGTATAACGTTAATCACATAATTTATGCGTAAGTTTATTATTGTATTATTTTCTTTAATGATTTAGAATGTACTGTCGTTTTAGGTTCAACAGTTTATTTACATGTGCTGTTACTTAAGCTTTCTCCTATTTTGACATATTAAAAAGTTGCATTTTTGTCTTAACGTAATAAAAATATTTTTATTTAACATTCACCATCAGTGCATGCTGAATGTCAACGTTTGCTGGTGTAAGTGAGAAATAATGATATTTAGCAAATATTTCGAACATACACAAAACGACTGTGTGAATGCTGACATTCACCGGAGAATGTTGACATTCGCCAGATATCGGTCATTTACAGTAACATATATATAAAATATTCACTAATAGGGAGTGAAGATTAAGAAACAAAAAATTTCATATACCATATTAAACAAACAAAACAGTACCAAATTATCAAAACAATAATATAGCAATTGGTGTAATGTTTCAAAATTTCCTTCTGAGTGAATCTTATTTGACAACTGCCAATATATTTGCAATATTTATTCAACTACAGCAATGAAGCATATAACTTTCTAAATATTATTTTTTAGTTCAATAACAATTTTATACAAATATTGTTCTATAAAGAGAATAAAAAATTCAAAACACTAAAAAGATCTATTATCTGCTTATTTAAATTTTGATTATTATTATAGAAGAATAGTGGAATCTCATCAAAGCAAACAAAACAGATCCCCAATAATGTTTGTTAAACATAAAGTTCATTGTAATGAAAAATGTATGTAAATCATCATGACACATAAAACAAAAATAGTTATATATGTTATTTATAATGTTTTTTTACTTATTTCCTGTGAATGAGGTAGTTTAGTTCAATTTAATTCACATCTCCAAATCTTATTCTTTTTATGCTTTGGTTTCCTATACCAGAAAAGAATGATCAGGAACCTAGCTACATTTCCCTCTCTCTCTTAAGGTACCAAGGGTATGATGGTACAATGTGACAGATGTCACATTGTACCATCATACCCTTGGTACCTTAAGTAAAGAATAAGGAAAATAAATTTAAATAAGACATAAATGACCTTCTTTACACCTGTGCCTATGACATCTTGTGGCTCTTGTTGAAGTTAGTAAATCTGCAAGTTATTAGTTGTTTCTGCACTCATCTGTCTACTTGGGTAAAGTTGCTTACCAGTTCAAAGATAATAGTGAAGAAAGAAGATGAAGAGAGAAAGAAGATGTAATGAAATTGCTGTAGTAGAGAGAAAACTAGAAATTCTAATGCAATGAAAAAAAATGTTAAACTGAAAGTTTGTTGTAAATACTGTATGTTTTGTACAACTGAAAAATTTTGTCAAGGATTCCTGTGGAGGTTTAGTCAGAAAATTCTAAAAATTCATTATTATAAGGTTTGTTATAATGAGCTTCCACTGTATTAAATAAACATCATATATTTATTATAATACAAGATGTTTATGACTCAGAAATCATAAATATGATAAATTTCTTACCAAAAATGTCTTGTTCATTTTCAAAATCTTCATTTAAAACATTATCGGGAGCAGAAGCAGATTTTATGATGGGTTTGGTGGGATCAACCATACCTGAGATAACCTCTTTTTGGTATTTTGTTAGCACAAGAGGTTTTATTGACACAGGTTTCTTTCCTTTCTTTTTGTTACCCGAACTCCTTGGTGTGCTTCTTAAATTTACCAAACTAGAAAACATAATTTAAAATGTTTGTTTTTAACATATAAGTAAAAACATTATTGTCAACAGAAAACATTAACTATAAATATAGCAATATGTTTAACACGTTACCTGCCACAAGCATTTTGCACAAACATCTTCTGGGCACCATTTTGATTATGTAACATTTATTTGCTGTTTTAAATTTTTATATTTATTTTTAAGTATCTATATAATTGTAAGTAATATTTAATATTTAGCAAAAAAATTATCTCGTAGTGGATGTGTGAAGCAACTTTTCCTTTGTAGATACAACTACAAGATAATTTGGGTAATATAAATATGTGTTTTTATTTTTTAATGTTTCTCAATATTTTTTCTATAAACTTTTTCTTTTATGACACCAATTGATTAGTCATTCATATTCCAGACACAATTAGCCATTCTGGTAGTATATTTACTATGAAAATATTCATATCTGGCAATCAAAACAGGAAACTCTTATCATATTTTAAGCTTCTTTATAGTGTTTTCTATAATGCCCAATCAATGTATCATTCTCATTCCTGATTTCCACTAATCAGTTATAACAACTACTTACTATGGGAATAGTTGTATCTGGCAAAACCTGACAGACAACATACAGAGTGTATCAGAACAACGTTTTAAAAATTTGGGGGATTGTAGAGGATGAAATTTTGAATGTTTTGATATAAGGAACCTATAGCCAGAAATGTGATATAAAGATTCTATGCGGTCAGTATGAGCAATGGCATTCTCTCGAGCTTCATCATAACACAAATGCATATCAGCAAGTTCTCCAAATGTGTAGTTACCCTCCACGACGCCAGAACATATCCACAGTACGTGAAGCACGATAAGCAGACAACTGTACACTGACTCACATTGACTAGCTGTGTGTTTACAGCACAGAGCCAGTGGATGCAAGGGGTGACCTAAGAACGACAAGTACTAAGTACACAACGTCCTATACACAGGCTCAGTTAGATCACTGTAGTTGTGTGTTTACAGTCTTCCATCCACAGCAATAACATGACATCAATGGACGGAAGGGTAGCTAGCACTTCCCTTGGTGAAGTGTGGACAATGCACTTCCTACTGCTGTAGACTCTTTAGTTCAAATTTCCGGCTATAGGTTCCTTATATCAAAATGTTCAAAATTTCATCCTCTACAATACCCCAAATTTTTAAAACGTCATTCTGATACACCCTGTATATGAGTTATCTTGTATGTGATGCCTGTTGTTTGATTGCCAACTACAAGATAATTCATAGTTGGCAGTCAACATGTTAAATTAGGAACATTTTTAAATTAATATTTCTTATTAATCTTAATTACTTAAAAAATTATTTATATATTTTGAATATAATATAATTTAATATACAATATGAGGAATTTATTAACATACTTGAAAATATGATTTATATAATAAAATTTAGTTAAATGTATACCATTTCTTTGCATTGCACTTATTAATTTTTCTTTTCTTTACTTAAGTTTTTTATTTGTTATTAATTTGTAAAAAAATTTTTAAATAATTCAATTCTTAGTAGATTTTGATTTCCAGTTCAGATATATAACTTTTTCATCAATCATTAAGTAATGAATTTTATATCATACTCCATAATAAATGTTTTTGATTAGTATTATTTTGAAATCACTGTAACAATTAAAAAATTAAAGTGCATGCATATAGTTTTATCATTATGATGAGTGTAAAATGGCAATGTACTTGTAAATAATAGGAAACATACACTTTAACTTCTACCAATTACTTTGTATAGTTTAACTAGTGAGGGTCTAGAATTAATTGAAATTATATAATCTAAAGATAAACAAGTAAAATGGCAAGACCAATTTTTGGGACAAGACTATGTCTCAGAGACTCGGGGCTCGATGCAGTCGTTCAAACTTCGCCTGCCATGGCCACGACCACGAGGCATTTTCGGTGAAATTAACCTATGCAATGTCAAAATTTCTATCTGTTGCGTGTTGCCCCAGGTTGAATTTTTGTCACTGCCTAATGAAAATTTCCTGTTTTTGAAAAGAATGATTGTGGCTATTGTATTGTCCGAAATTACTTTTTTATTTTGCACAAACAAAATAATTATATTAATAAATGTAAAAACAAAAAAAAAAAAATTATATTTTGGAAGTTACTTTTAATATAAAATTATAAAGACTAGTGCCATCTAGTTTCAAAAATGTTCTGATGCTGAAACAAGATATTTTGGGCCAACTGGACAAGGTCTGCAGGTCGTAACCAGAGAGGTAAATGGGTTTTTTCAAAGATTCGTTTGTCAAAATACGATTTCGCAATGTTCACATTTCAAACTTCCCAATGATATATGCATGCACTCTTGCCTGTTTGTAGAAAGATGTTGCCATTTTGTATTTTAATTTGACTCGGTTCACGGTCCCCTGAGTACCTACAAGTCTGATATTTTATTATATGTGCATGATTTGGGCACCTAATACTCTGTGCCAAATTGAAACTCCTGACATGTCCCCCTTTTACCTCTAAGGTATGTACCCATTATGGCACTGCAATTTTATAAACAAGACATAGTCTTGTCAACAATGCTTTAAATGTCTATAATTTATCTCATACAATAATGAAAATTTCACTAATTAACTACTACTCTAGCCTGAGATATCCTAATAAAATTTAAATGTTATTTCAATATTTATCACATAGAGTGAGCCATAATTAAAAATGAACTTACCTTACACAATAATTTCAAATATTTGTATAAAGTTACAATTTTAAATAACATTAAAAAATTAAGTTTTTTGTTTCACGTAACCTTATCTAGAATAACATATATTTTATAACTTTTGAGGAAAATCAAAAGCAAAGTAATTTAATTCTAGAGTGTAAAAGACTAAAAGTACGAAACTTTTTGACATAAATTCCTTATTGATCACGAAAATTCAAAACAAAATTATTTTATTTTAGAACTGATCATTTTCAGACTGTTTATTCATTTCCAAAATTAACATGCTATTGCCCTGTTTAGTTGTTAAATAAATTATAATTAAAATAATTATTTACTGATTTTAAAATTATTACTTAAGTATTTTTACTTATTTAATAATTAAATAGGAAATTAAATGCTAAAATTTATTTTTAAAATTTCTATGTTACCTTCCTAGATATTTGGCACCTTTTGTGAACTGCTGCCAAGAAAGAACTTGTTGCTGCGGAGAATCCAGCTGAAAATCATATCCAGTTTCTAACGAAGCTTCTGTGTCAGCAATATCACTCGACTCATTAGTGGCAGCATCAGTTTCATAATCTAAACACACAAAGAAAAAATTATCAATTGTAAGAATTTATATGACTGACACAATTACATATCTAAATATATAAATAAAAATGTTTGTAAGTTTTTTACTTTGTTCTTTATACATTTTGACCTTGTTTGAGTAAATGCAATGAAGCTTTTTAAGGACCTCCTCTCATTCAGGAGGACGTTAACAACTACTTTTGATTGAATTAACTTCAACTACCTTTTTAGGAATTTTCAAAGCTGTTGAGTTTAATAATTGATCCATTTTTTTTGAAATTTAATTGGTTGGCTGATTACCATTTCATATTTGCTTTTGAATGGAATGTTAGAGTTAACATTACAAATAACTTGTACGTCTCAAATTATCTTCTAATGCAGATCGAAATCAATGACTTTTTTCTATTTAAAAACATCAATTCCTGTCTACCTGATGAATGAAATTATACGATTCCATACCATCTGATTATCACAATGAACATGACAATGGTAGACTAAAATAATCAAACTCTTACTATGGCTTACATTTTAATGTTTGTTATTCTTACTTTTGCCCAGGCAGTGCCAGGCATATTTATTTATAAATTATTATTTAGTGTTGAAAAATAATATTTGTTACATAAATGTTCTTAAAATTTATTTCCAAAAATTTTTAGATTAGTTTAAATACATTTAGTTGCTATTGTATCTGTGTATACAATATATTTTTAGCATGATTTTGACTTTTGATTTTAGATGATAAATTAAAAAAAATATCACTTTCTTTATTATTAGCAAAGTCAAGACTTTGAAGAGATTTATACAAAGTTACAATTGTTTTGTCTTTTATTTTAGAATATTAGAATCTCAGAAAATTAAAACATTACGAAGAAATAAATTAAGAATTTTCAAAAAGAAACAATTTCAGTTAAACTTTAATATTTAAAAAATAACAATAAAGTATATTTTAATATAATAAAATATAAGACAATGCTGCTAGTGTTTACAAATTTACACTCTCTTACATAATGATCATTAACATATTTTAATTTATATAATTACCTTCACAAAATATTTCTGAAGCTTTAACTCGGGATTTTAATTTCACATAAAACTGATGATGACTCATTGCTAAGTTGAAAAAACATTTGCTCCTAGAAGAAAACATGAAAAATTAATATACATATATTTTACTCTAGTAAAACTAAATTAAGCCAAGCCAATTGTTAATAAAATATCATCATCATCAAATAAAAATTATTAGATTAATATATGATTTAATCTAGTCATGTGAAAATCAAAACATGTTATTATGATATGCAAAATAAGCTAAAAGAAGATACTTTATATTTAACAATTTTAATATATTGTTAATATAATATATATGTTACCGGCAAAGTTTGAAATCCGGCATTCTATAGAATGCCTAGGCATTGTATATAATGCCTAAAACTAGCCGGCAATCTATGAAACGATTTATATTTTACAGATTTCCTAGGCATTCTATAGAATGCCAAATGAGAAACCGGCAAAGTATGAAATACATCTCCGTTTCGTTTCAAATATCACGTGGCAAGGCACGTGACTTTTAACGAGCGGCTCAGGCTTAGAATTTGTCAGTTGCACTTTGCGGTTTGTTCGGGAGTGTCAAAATACGCAATTTTACTTAAATTTGTTCAACAAAAAATTAGTTTTTTACTGTGGTCCATGAAAATGGAGGAGCAAGCTGTAGTGTTGGAGAAGGTGTCATGGTCTATAGACATGAAACAACGATTCGACGATGAACTGTGCAAAATTCGAGTTAATGCTGCAAAAAACAGTATTTTCTTAACCGAAACTACTTACCAGAAGTTAATAAATGATGTACAAAAAGCCAAAATGACTACTAAGAAGGAACCCAGGGACTATTGGTTGCTGAATCGCTATGATGTGATGATTGTAGAAAACAAAAGTAAACTCATTTATCCTGTTAAAGAAGGCGTCAGTACTATACAGTATTACGTCACGGACTCAGAGTTATTTCACGTACTTCATGAAGCTCATTTGGCTATTGGACACGGAGGACGTGATAGAATGTTGAAAGAACTTTCAATCAAATACAAAAATGTTACACGTCATGATATTGAACTGTACATCCACCTTTGTGAACCTTGCCAGAAAAAACAGAAAGGTATTAAAAAGGGCATTGTTGTGAAACCTATGATTTTTTCCGAATTTAATTCCCGTTGTCAAGTAGATCTTATTGACTTTCAGTCTCAGCCAGATAGAGAATACAAATTTATTATGGTGTACCAAGATCATCTCACAAAATTTGTGATTCTTAAGTCTCTAACGTCGAAAAGAGCTGAAGAAGTAGCCTACAACCTAGTGGACATATTCTCGTTGCTTGGAGCGCCGTCTATATTACAGTCTGACAATGGTAGGGAATTTGCGAATAATGTGGTGACCAGCTTGAAGGAGTTTTGGCCAGCACTGAAGATCGTCCATGGGAAGCCTCGCCATTCACAAAGCCAGGGTAGTGTCGAAAGAGCTAATCAAGATATCGAAAATATGCTCTGTACTTGGATGCAGGACAACAAATCTGACCGCTGGAGTGAAGGACTACGTTTCGTTCAATTTATGAAAAATAGAGCTTATCATTCTGGGATCAAAAGAACACCATACGAAGCTCTTTTTGGCTGCAAACCTAAAGTAGGGCTTTCTTTTCTACCAGAATTAAAAGACATAAATACAGAGGAGCAGCTAGAAAAAGTAATAGAAAGCGTCAAAACAATGGAAAAAGGTGAAACTAATCAGATTACGCAAGATGAGATTATAGTCGTTAGTGGAGTAAACCAACACGATGAAGACATGCTTACTGAAGAGATTTCCGTTTCTGATACCTGTTGTGTGTGTTTAAAGGAAACAAGTGATGCACTTGCATGCAAAAAATGTCGTCAAAAAATTCATACCTTCTGTGGCCATGCTAGTAAAGATGATGAAATGGATATTTTGTGCACCCTTTGTTTCAAAACTGAAAATGCTATTGAAGGTAAAATAAATTCTAAAATCAATCTGGAAATACAAGCCAAAAAATGAAAATAAATTCGGAAAAAAAATTTCCCACTGCTTCTTTGGGAACTACTGTGCGAGTTCCTATTCCTGACGTCGACAAGGGGCGAGGTGATTCGCGCAATATATTGGCAATTGTAATGAGTGTGACAGAGGATGGTTTCTACCGACTTGGAACTTCTGAAGGAATTTTAAAACAAGTATATGCGAGATCACAATTCACTCCATGCCCCAAGAACTTGCTTAGAATTGAAGATATTCCTGACCATGAAATTCCTCTCCGGTCAGTTGCAATTGCTCAGTCCAGTGGAAGCGGCCAAGGATTCGTCAAATGTATGTGTAAAACAAAGTGCCAAAATATGAAATGTCTTTGCGTGAAAAATGTAATGAAATGTAATTCAAAATGTCATTCAAGCCTACCATGTTGCAACAAGTAGGTTAATTGTAATTTTTTATATGAAAATTTTGTTTCCCTTAATAAGAAAGGCATAAATTTTGTTTTGTACAACTTTCATTTTTCTTTACGTATTTTGAATAAATTTTTTTAATGGCACTCTCATTATTTTTTCAGAATAACATTTGTATTTTTGAGGAATGCACGTCATTTATATAATAGCCTTATCAGAACCTTTTTTCATACTTTGCCTAAATAGCATTTGTCATTCTATAGAATGCCTAGGTATTATATACAATGCCTAGGGAAAGTATGTAATAATTCTCATATTTCATAGATTGCCTAAAAACGGCAGGCATTATATACAATGCCTAGGTATTCTATAGAATGCCGGCTTTTCATACTTTGCCGGTAACATATATATAAAATATTGTTAATATAAATAATAACAATAATGAAATCTCTAGACAAATTTGCTATATTATTATTTAAGAATTTTTTAGTAAGCAGTTTAATTGAAAAAGTTTTTATTATAAAACATACAAGTATGAAATTAAAAGCAATTATATAATTACAAGAATTTCCAGGATTAACTCTTCATTCATTCATTAACTATTGAAAAATTAAAATACAAGGTAGCACTTTTAATCCAATAGGATTTAAAGAAATATAAATGTTTTCTTTTAACTCCATTGCTTTAAATACAACGTTAGAAATCTCAATTGTGATAAATGTTCTAAATTATATCAAATCCACAAATAAACTTTTGAAGAATATTGTGAATACTAAAAACAGATTTGTCTCTAAATGAAGTTGTTTATTTATAATTTGACTTAAGTTATGTTTATCAAGAAACATTTCCAAGCATCCAAATTACTTAAGCTTAACATTTATATTAAGAATAAGCATATCATACTTTCAAGCTTCTGTTTTTTTGTTCCTGATGATAAATGGATATTTGAAAATGCTAGAATAACACATTTTTTCTTTATTTATTTTTAAAATAATAAAGCATTTCTAAAGTTATTTCATTTTTTATTATTTTTCTCTTTATTTATTGTTTAAACTATCATTTGATCTTAATATATTCAACTATGTTACATATTGACAAATTTAGTATGTTCACTACCATTCATCATAAGGCAAAATTGTACTATGTAAACTGATTTGTTTTTCATAAAATATGTCACTATTTTACATAGATTAAGAATAAAAAATTTTTAATTTTGAGCAATCTTCACAGAATTATATATGATGATGCAAAATTGAGTCAAATAACCTGTGGACAATTAATGAAATACTACTATAATTAAATATTTTTCTGGGAAACTAAGAAAACAAGCAATAAAATATAATCTTAAAGATGTTTCTCACTCTTTTAGATAGTAATAAACAACATGCAAAAATGTTCATGCAGAAAATTAATATTAAGATGATAGAAAATCACATCATCAGCACATTGTAATGAAGGTCAAATGATGCAAAGGTACAGTACATCAAATTAAATATATTTTTAGATATATTACATTTCTCTGCTTTAAAGATTTTGTTTCTAGATACAAAACTTTAATTTATAAGGCTTATTATAATTATTAATTTTATAATTAGTAATTATAAAATTATTTCTAGAAATTAAACAATAATATTTTAAAGTTAAAAAGCTGTAATGGATATAATGGGAAACCATTTTGTATGACAGTAAGTCACCTATAATAGTGGTGTAAAGAACATAAACAACACAATGATATGTTCAGGAAATCCTGTATCTTCATGTGTTGCCTTTCATAACAGAACTGTAAGCAGTCATTTTTCAGCAAGATAATGCCTGACCACACAATTAGCATTTCCCAGTAATGTTTTTGTTACTTTACCAAACTTTGTTGGCCTTCCTGGTTTCAAAATTTGTCACCCATTGAGTATTTATAGAATAAGATGGGATACCCGCTTTGGCCATTTATGAATGTAAGGGATCTGAAGTGGCAGCTGCAGTATCTGTAGCAGGATAGCACATGGTGACTGTATGCTTTCATATTCAACTTTATTGCTGTATGTGTCTAGGTAAAAGGAAGTCCTACAAGGTCCTAAGGGTTGCTTTAAATTGTACTACTGATCTATAGAAAATTGTTCCTTTGCTATGACATTGCAATCACTTATTACTAATATCATTTCATTCACACTAATAAATTTTATTTAATTCCAACACCACCTTGGAATTTTTTTTATCAATAATTTTTAGTAAATATTTTAAATTGTAAATTAGTAAAATACAAGTAATTTGGAATCTTTTTCATTACTTTATATCCTTACTGTACTAAAAGAATAGAATTAAACATTAACAAATGGAAGACTAATACAAAAATAAACACTAGCTTTACTAGTGTTTGTGTTTTTATTGCATGAAGAAGATATACTCCAAACTACTTTTGAGTTTATCTTNTTATGTATTTCCAAACTTTCCTATCAGTAAATGTGGAAATTTTTTCCTGCTAATTATTTTAAGTTTTAGAATACAGTATTGAACAATTTTTTTTACACCAAGATTCATAAAAATATAATTTTTATATGTATAAAACTAGACAATGTATTCTCACCCAGAATTCATTATTAATATATAAATGAGTTTTGGATAAGAAAATTGTTTAAACTTTATGAAAAACATTATGTTATGTAACAAAACAGTTCTGTCTCTTGAATTAAGCAATTATAAAAAAAAGTAAATTTTAATCCATTAATTGCTGATCATAAAAACATGAAATTAATATTATTACAATGCACAAGTTTTCATAGTCATTAAAAATTATACTTCCACAAATAAGACTCACTTTATGTTATGAGTTACATAAAACTTGAAGTGGATGTGCCAGCCTGTTATACTTTCAGTTCTTGGACATAGAGAAAAGTAATGATTTGTGTAAGAGATTCTATATATTTCTTTCCATGGATATTCTTGAATTTTATTTCTTTTATTGCCCTTTTCTTCAAAAATATCAATGCCTTCTTCAAAGATTCCAATCCAAATGTATGATGATAAATGTTTTTTATCCTAAAATATAATAAAATTTAGTTCGTTGTACATATAATGCAGTTGTCATACAAAAATTAATAGTATAAAAATTTTTAAATATCTACTGTTCTTAAATCTAAAATTAAAGTAGTATACAATTATCAATAAATATATTATAAGTAATGTATCACATATTTTTATATATGGTAAAACTTCTCTAACTCAAAGCTCCAAGATACAGGAAAAACTTTGAATTACAGACAATTTGAATTAGAGAACAATAATGTAAAAAATGCCAATTCTGAATAGATTTGTATTTTTACCTCTCTTGCATTATGTAAAGAATCTTTGATAGTTTTTGTTTTAAACAGTGCATGTAATACCTTTCAGCAAAATGTTCAATGTGACTAATGGAATCTAACAGTTTTTCAGGTACATTTTGTTAAGATAAAGTGAGAGGTCTTCTTGCTTTGTACTCAAATGTTATCAGCAAATGGGTGTTGGACAGTAGATACAATTAACTGTCTGAAAATTTTGTGAAAATCTGATAATTAGGATCACTTTGGATAGGATATTAAAATTTGAGTCAGAGAAGTTGAAAGTAACATAAACTAGTGTCAGGGGACCATGAAAATCTTTGACTTTGAGAAACATCACATTAAAAGTGTTAAAAATCCCTATGCTATTCCATTGAGACCTACCAAGTGCTTCATTTTTTTCAAGTTACAGATGTTTGAGTTAGATGTTTGAGTTAGAGATATTTTACTGTATATTCTAACATGATTTTATAAGTAAGATTTCTGGATATATTTTTTTCTTTTTAAATTACAAAATACCTAAATTCTTTGAGTTAAAATAAAAAAAGCACTTTAGTTTGCCAAATAACTCAGTGTTGGAGTGTCATATGGTGAATTAAATTAATCTAATTTTGTCTTTTTGTTTTGTATAAGGTTTATAAAATACAGTCAAATTTCATTAATTCAAATTATTGTATAATTCAAACCCATTCTTGAAATTCTATGAATGTTAAAAAATTTGACTAATTCAAAGTTAGTGTATTTCATATTTCAAAATAAAAATGAAAACAAAACCTTAAGCATGATATGTACACAACTTTGTCATTAGCTTAAAAAGCTGAAGCACTTAACAAAGTGAAAAAGAAATGTGATACTGCTGAAGAATATGGAACACTGATAAATACCAGAAACTTGCAAAAAACTAGTTTAATGTTTTAACATTGATAATTTAAACTCTCCTCATTTTCTCCTGGTGTTCAAATCAAAAAAAATTTATTGTAAATGCAGTGTCTGAATGTACATATTAATGTTATTTTAGTCATGTTCCCGAGTTTTAGCTTTTGTTGCTATATGTACACACATATAGGAACAAAGCTTTAGTTTGGTTGATAAAACTACAATGGGGTGAATGAAACAAAGTTTTATTTTTATTATTTTTATTTGCATACAAAAAAATTAGCAGTTTGTATTAAAAAAAATTTGAAAGCCATTGAAATATTACTTCATCACTTTCATCTTTATCAGAACTTTTGTTGTCAGAATTCCCATTTTCTATTTCATTGCCATCAATGTCTTCAGCTTCCTGAAGACATTGATCATCATCCTTTGTTCTATCTAAAGTTCATGAAGACCAGTTCATCATCCTCTGTTCTATCTAAAGTTGTTGATAACCTTTCTTGAAGTCCTTTATAATTGTATTTTCACCAACAATCTTTCATAATTCTACTTTTACGAAAATATGTGGAATTTTTATTATCAATACACCCATCTATGCTTTTATTAGGAAAATCAGAATTTGGCATTCAATTAAATTTATTCCTTTTCAAAATACTTTAGTAAAAAATAAATTCTTTTACAAGTATATAAGAATCAATCAACATAAATGAGTATTTGATTGCTTTCTTATTTTACAAATTGCATTTAAATCATATCTAGTTGATCAGAAAACAACTCAAAATGGTTTATATTTTATAGAGAGAAATATATATATTGGTGCCTATAAGTGACAAATTATAGCTTATTGCTTCTTTCCTGTGAATATCAATAAATATAGAATTAATAAAAGATATAGAACAAAATCAAGGCAGTATCCTACATGCTGGTCATAGACTACTCAGCACACACATCACATAAAGGAAAGCAGGCATCATTGAATATTTCATGTGTATTCCAGAAAGTGTATTTGTAGTTTTATGACTATCAAAAACAAAACTGAAACTTTGTTTCATTTTTGTTTGCCTTATTTTTTTAATGACTGTCTAAAATATTTTTCGTAAACTCTAAAACATATAATCACATTGAATGTGTAAATTTATAATTACAATAAAAATTTACACTTTACAATAGAATAAATTTTATGGTAAAGTTTCAGCAACCTTCCAATTTTTCACAATCACTTGAACAGTTGGCTTTTAAGAATAAAATTAAGAAGTTACCAAAACTGACTCATGTTGTTGAATACAATAAGAACAATTGGATTAGTTTAGTTGAGTGTTTTTCAACAATCAACTAATTGATTATTTACAATTGGACCAAACACTCAGTTCTCTTGTGCAATTTGTGGGCAGCAACATAATATGTCATAATTGGGCTAATGTTTAACATTGCTAAATAATTAAGGCACTAAATTTCAGTATCAGTTTAACTCTGTGCATGTACAGTATCAAAGACATTTATCAAAATCAAAGAAAACTTTAATCAAACTCAAATATAAGTTTAAGCTTAAATATAGATCAAGTGTAATTTTTTTCCCTGTTAATTAAACCTAGAAAAAATAATATTTGACTAACATTTGGGCCATTATTGTATATAAACTGTTAAAATTAATAACAGATTAAGAAAAGAAATTATTGAATCTGTTTAAATTAAAAATTTTGGACATAATGTTTCTCCTGTGTTATTTTGATTAAACAATATTTTCATTTGATGTAAATCATTTTGTGTTTTTCATCGTTTTACAAAAGCTTAATATTTGCAAAATGATTGACATATAATGATAATATAATATGTTTCATTATTTTCAATTGTTGATTTAGAAAACATTTGTTGAATAGTGGACAAAATAATATTCAAGTTTAAATTTAATAAATGCTATATCTTTTATTTTTACTTGTTTATTTTGAAATTATAGATAATAATAACAACAGTTACTACTAAAATAAATGTCAAATATATAAAAAATTAAAGTATTTCAATAACTTACTTGAATTACTTTGTAAAAATGATATCCATATTCGGGCAACTTTTGAACTCCCTATCAAAAGCATAAACAAAAAAGTATTGAAAGATACACTATATAAAATAAATAAAAAACACAAAAAGAAAGTAATATTATATAATTTTTTATAAATTTAAATTATTAAATGCCTAAATTCTTTGAGTTAAACTAGTAAAGTTAATAACTGTCTTCTTGTGTTTTTGCACCTTCATACTTATCTAAACAACAAAATCCATAAATTTCAAATATTATGTGTATCTAATGTTTCCAATCTGCATCCAAATGATGTTAATACATGACTAGAATTTCAGCCTACAAAAACTTTTATATACATTTTAAAAGTAAAATAATAAACTAGTTGTTTTTTTATATACTTTCAAAAACATTTATATTCTTGAAAATAAAAATAATTTTTCAAATGTTTTGACAATCAGTCCACATATTTATACTTTTACAATAATAAGAACATCCTAATTCTGATTAGAAAATTGTTACATATGTTATATGCAAAAAGTAATAAAAATATCACTTGTAAATTAAGATATATTGTCAAAATCTTTTTGTATTTTACTCAGGTTTAATATTTCAGAACTTATATTTATAATCATGTTTATATTTATAATCATGTAGTACATTTAATGATTTTCCACATTTGAAAATTTAATTATCTTGCATTAAACTTTTAATATATCATGTAACTAAATAACAAAAGATGTTACTTTTGTTAGTCAAATGTATGAAAGAAATAACAGCTCTTAAAAAATAGTATTTATAATCATGTATATATATATACATAAATATTATATTCTTACCTGCATAAATTCCAATTCAGATATTTCTTTAGATAATCCATAATGGGTCCCATGAAGTTCCATAAGGTTCTCTTTAGCTTCAGATCTATCCATTTCATGAATGATTCTTTGAGGTAGATAATGTTCCAGTAAAAAATAATTCTTATGTACAACTTTATCAAAATTGCCAAATTCTGCCTGGAGAGCAAAACCAGCCAGGTTCATGGCTTCATTATCATCACAATATATTCTTTCTTCTAATAAATCTCGTCTAAATTGAAGATAATACTGATGTCGAACACCAGAGTGCCTACATTAAAAATTTTCAGAAAAATCAGAAAAAAACTTTAAATAAAAAATAAAAAAGAATCAAAAGTATTAATTTGCTTTAAAGATTCGTTATGAAATCTTGAGGGGAAAAAATATAATATATATACAGTGGTACCTCAGGATACGAAATTAATCCGTTCCGAAACTGAGATCGTATCATGAAAATGTCGTAAGGTGGATCATCTTTTCCCATACGATTACATGTAAAACCAAATAATTCGTTCCAACACGAAAAACACACTCAAATTAAAGCCAAGTAATACATTAAAAAAAAATAACTGTAGTAACAAAAACAAATGAAAAATGCGAACTAATGTAACGTCGTATGGTGAGTTTTTGTTCGTATCGTGGAGCAAAAATATGTTCGAATTTGATGTCGTATCCTGAAAATTTCGTATGCTGGGGCGTTCGTAACCTGAGGTACCACTGTATTGTATATATTATTTTTTGTATATATTTTGTATATATTATTTTTTTCATTTACAAGAAAGAAGTGAGAATTGAATCAATGCTTATTGTAAGATATTTCTATATTTCTGTAACATATTCAAAGATATAAAAAGTTATAAATAATCTTAATTGACACTTTTTATGTGTTAAAAAGTGCCAATTAAGAACTTCACTATTTATATTTGTTAAAAAATATCATTTTTCTAATTTATAATTTAGACAGTCCCTGACTTTTGTACATAATCTGTTCGTACAAAGGAGTATAAAAATTAAATAATAGTTACATGATATAAAGGGATATATACAGTAAACTAAGCTTGAATTTTTAATCAAATAATACTGCTGGATTCATCCCACCAGTGGATAATTAAGTATGTAGATATAATGTAATTTGGACTAAAGGTAGTCCAAATTACTTTTATTCAAGATGACAACTTAACTAACTTGGTACTCCAAATTATGATTAATTTGTCTTCTTTTATTTAATTTAATAATTAGAATTAAATTAATTAATTTAGAATATTCTGAATGAAAAAATAAAACTGAAGCAGTACTCAAATATGCAACTCCTACAGATATATACTACCTATACATCTGTCAAATCTTTGTTTCCAGTTCAATTAATTTTGAAGATATAACCATACTGGTGTCTAACTGCACTCACTGACTAAGGCTATGGATGTGTTAGTTTTATCTAGTTGATGCAGTGAGTGACAATTATGGTTATATCTTCTAAATTAATTAGCCTGGAAGCAAAGATTGGACAGACATCCATGTAGCATAATTGATAATGATCTCCATTATAAGCAAGAGTTGTAAGTTTCAATCCCACTTTGAATCAATCTTTCCTCCAGAATACTTTAAATTAATTAATTTAATTGTAATTATTAAATTTAATACAAGATGACAACTTAACAAATTACCTTTAGTCCAAATTATTTTATATCTGTATAAGTAATTAGCTAAGTTATGCTCTAACAAATCTGGTGGTTTCAACTGATTAAATTATAAAGGGATAGCTAAAATCAAAATTATAAAAATCTTTTATTAAGGCAGAGTTTAGTTTTAGTTTATATTTTATAGTAAATATGCTATAATGAATAAAACATTATTTAAAATTTCTTTTATTATTATTTACAATGTTGAATCTGTAAAACAAGCAAAAACAGGTAAAAAAATTAATTTTTACAAGTGATTTTAGTGTTGCTAAAACCAAAACTAGTAGAAAGCATCACTGCTTGATAACTGAAACTGTTTGGTCTGGCAGTGTACAAATGTTTGAATTTGGCATATGAAAAGCAATTTAAAATTATCAAAGTATTATGTATGAAAGAGAGAGTTATCTAAAAATCACATTTCCAAAAGTCAACAACTTTATTATATTAAAAATATATTCAATTTCACTTATTCCTATATTGTAATAAGTCTAGGAAAGAATATATGAATACAATCTTACATAATTTAGAGAATATACAAGTCTATGATCATTTACAGAGTCGAGGTAAAAAATCATAGAAATTATTCTACGTAATATTCGAATGTCTCCTTATAATCATTTGCCTAAATAAATTTTGATTCATAGTTTTGTTGTAAATATTCATTTTTATAAAACGTTCTCAATAATTCAAAAAGATTAAGTAATTTGAAACATTTTTATAACATTAATGACATAATTACCTTATAAGATTAATATCTTTCAAGTAAAATTTAACTCTCCAGTACAAAGTAAAGCTAATATCATCGTCAATTGCTTTTTTACTATAAGGATTTGGCATCCAGCATCTTAAAATCTGTTTAACTAACTTCTCTTGATTCTCTAAAAAAAATAAGTCTCCATCTAAAAATAAATTATACTTATTAGTTACTATATGATGTGTTCCATATAAAAAAAAAATGAAAAAATTAGTTTTCAGGTAAAAATCTTCAAATTTAGAATTTAAATAGATTCATAAGAATTTCATTAAATATTTGAAAGCTATTCTTCAATGACAATTATTTGTAACAATTAAAACAAAATGGTAAATTAAAACTCCACTAAAAAATCCACTAAATTATTGAAGAATATTGTTTTATGAAAGTGACGATATCATCTAAGCAATTATAACTAATTATGAAATATATACTAAAAAATTTCCAAATATAAATGAAATATTAAAAAACAATTAAGTCTAAATAATTACTATATTATTTACATAAGAACAAGTTTCAGATTTAAAAATTTTACAAAAAAAAAAAATCAATAATTTTTCAGACTTTAATGTAGAANTTGTCATACAAAAATTAATAGTATAAAAATTTTTTAAATCAAAAATTTTACAAAAAAAAAAAAATCAATAATTTTTCAGACTTTAATGTAGAAAAAGTTTTTACAATTCATCAATAATCACTTTTCTTTCTCTGGAAACAGTAATAAACTAATTTGTCACTATATAAATGAGTAAAATTTAAATCCAAGCAACCTTTTAAATTTCATTATAAACTAAGTTTTAATGAAAGCAAATGTTTTTAGCCTTATTCAACAAGCCCTCTTTTAAGCTAAATTCAATGAGACTATTCTGAAGTTAAATATTCTATATTGGAAGATTAGATTATTAATGTGTTTATGGTGCAAGGACTTAATGGGTCATGTGAGCCAATCTATATTGGAATGTTCATCAATCTTTCAGCAATTAAACAAAAGTAAAAGATTAAAATATTGGAAGATTAAAGTCTTTGTAATATTTTTTAGAAAGAATATTTCATTATTATAATTTCAGAATTATCCAAAATATGCATCCAAATAATTTTAGTGTCTTAAAATTTATCTTGTTTAGTTTATACAAGTTTTAGTTTTTTGTAATTTACCTACATTATTGTTACTGCAAATTATAATTAAAACAGATTAATTACTTCTGTTTATATACAACTGATAAACAAACTAATACTTAAATGTTAAAACCAGGGCTGTGGAGTCGGAGCCGGAATCGGAGTCATGGAGTTTTGGTGTTTTCGCTGGAGTCGGAGTCAGATGGTAAGGAAAAGTCGGAGTCGGAGCTGGAGTCGGTAGATTTTTATGCCACTCCACAGCCCTGGTAGGACTGTGGAGTCGGAGTCATGGAGTTTTGGTGTTTTAGCCGGAGTCGGAGTCGGATTGGTAAGGAAAAGTCGGAGTTGGAGTCGGTAGATTTTTACGCGACTCCACAGCCCTGGTTAAAACAGTAACTAATATAAATAACACCTTTTACCATCCAGCAATAAAAATACTTAATATGACAAAAACATTTTCAACCGTCCAACTGATTGATTGAACCGTCCAATATTGGTCCAACTGAAGATGGCTGTTAAAAAACGGTTGAAAACGTTTTTGTCATATTAAGTATTTTTATTGCTGGATGGTTAAAGATGTTATTTATATTAGTTACGTTTATTCCAGTATAAGTTCTTGTTTTATTTATTTGTTAAAACAGTTTTTTAATTGCAGTTTTAATGAAAATATTTGCTGATTTTGATCAATTTCTGAGAAATCCATTTGACCAGATACATGAGACTTCTAATGCTATCTGCCTTTCAATCAGAGTGATCTAAGATTGAATACATATAAATTCTCAGATATGTTCATAGTTTATTTTGTTCTAGATATGTTAGGTCCTGTTCCTCAACATCTAGCTACTCCTATTATGAGCATGCTGTGCACATGAAAAAAAGGCTCTTTTAGTGCTCAGTGAGTAGAAAATCTGGTGCATATTGTGAGGAAAACCTTTCACGACGAATAAGTAATTTAGAGAGTTTATATACATATATGAAAATATACTTACCATGTTTAAAAGCTAATCCAAAAACAGAATTTTCAGGTAATGATAAATGAGCTGATGCAATATTATAAATATCTTTAACCACAACAGATGAATTGCAATTGATGTCCAAATGAATACCACTCAGTAATATCACAGTAACTCGACAAGGAAATATCTTACTTTTATTTACCTGAAAAACAATATGAAACAGTAACTATTAATAATAAATTAACAAATGCTTATTTTATTTTAATTTGTTATTGAATTAATATTGAAATAAATAAATTTATTAATAATTTATAAAATTATTAATAAATTATAGCAAAGTACAATGTTATATAATTGTATATGTTACATCTTATACATGTCTATGATAATATAACTTACGGATATACAGCCTTAGTATGAAATAATAGAAAGTTTTCAAAAAAATATATTATATTGATAATTATTTTATACCACTTATATGCACTTAAATGTAGACACTGGCATTTAAATACAATAATATGGTAAAAATATGGTACCAGTCCTTGGAAAAACACTTCTGATATCAGATGTATTTGGAAAATTTAGCATTAAGACTAAATACTGAAAATAATAATATCAATTCCATTGAAACTTCTTGTCACTTTTTTAATAGTTTTATAAACTAGAACATACACTTTAAGTAATTCATGCGCAACAGCTGAGAAAATATGAAATATTTCAGTTTAAAAAATAATTTAAATAATCAATACATATGGTGACAAAATTAATATGAACTGAATGTCAATAATTATTCCAAACAATTTTCTTGTAATCTTGATAATTCAACTATTCTTCAACATTAGTCATTTTAATTTTGCAACCATGTTTAACCACCTTAATTTTTTTTAAATTCTAAAAAATAAATTTAAGAAAAAATGGATTAAACTTACAGTTGATTTTTTAGTTTTTGTATCCAGTGAAAAAGAAATTACTGGTTTCACACTCATGACAACAAATTCTGGTCCCAATATTTTCTGTTGTAGAATTAATAAAATTACACTTTAATATATTTTTAAAACAAAAAACACCAACTACATCAACAATAACATCAGTAAATATTAATTTCTGAAATTTATTTGAAATTTTACGTATTAAATATTTTC